ACGTACGTAACGTAACGTAACGTAACGTAACGTAAACGTAAAGTAACTACTACGTACTACTACTACTACTAACTAACTAACTAACTACTACTCTCTCTCTCTCTCTCTCTCTCTCTCTCTCTCTCTCTCTCTCTCTCTCTCTCTGCAAGCTGTAGTGAAGAAGCAAAGCAAACCCCAAAAGATAAAAAGCATTAAGGTGGATGGACAAGGCAAGGAATCTCTCTGAACAATATTACTTTTGCTTTAGCTTTGCTCTAATCCCAAGTGACACAAAAATTCCCCACCACCTTTGGGTTCCTAATTCTTGCCTTCAGGACTGGTTCTTTCTCTAAGCACATCTTCCTTGTAGGGCTGAGGAAGCAACCTCAGCCCCTTTCTCCATAGAATGAAGCTAGTGGTTGAAGTAATAGAAGCCCATGATCTTATGCCCAAAGATGGTGAAGGCTCAGCCACCCCCTTTGTTGAAGTAGACTTCGAAAACCAACGCATTCGAACCAAATCCCTCGAAAAAACACTAAACCCCCACTGGAACGAGCAGCTCATTTTCAACGTTACCGACCCCAAAAACCTCCATAACAGAGGCATCGAGGTTTACGTCTACAACGAGAAGAGGTCCCTGCACAGGCGCAACTTCCTCGGAAAGGTAAGAGTCTCAGGCTCTAGTGTAGTCAGAGAGTCCGAAAAGGCTCTCCAAACCTTCCCCTTGGAAAGAAGAACACTCTTCTCATTTGTCAAGGGAGATATCACCCTCAAAATCTACCTGTCCACCAATAACAAACTTGAAACACCACCACCCTTGATTAATAATACCAGTACTAGCCCCACAACCTTAGCCAAACCACCACCACCATCCACCACTGATAGTCCTGATAACAAGGCTCTAACTTCACCACCATCTACTACTGATAGTACTGCTAAAACTACTGATAATACCCCAACTACACCACCACCAACTGATTCCAATACTAGTAATTCTATTAGTACTAAATCTGTTGGTGAAGTTGCACCGCCTGAGGAGATCAAAGAACCAATAGAAGTGAAAATCTCGACAACTCAAATTGTAAACAAACAAGAAGTTACTCAACAACCAAGTAGAGTGGTCGAACAGAGAAGGCCACAGGGCATCCCAGTTGTAACCATGAACAATTACCAAAATATTGTTCCCCCTCCACCAGGGACTCACCATCATGGGGACTTTGGGCTCAAGAACACGAGCCCTCACCTTGGCACGGGGTGGTCGAACCGAGAATTTGCTAGCACATATGACTTAGTGGAGCAGATGCACTATCTTTATGTGCGCGTGGTTAAGGCCAAGGACCTCCCTGCTAGCTCAGTGACAGGTAGTTGTGACCCTTATGCCGAGGTCAAGCTTGGTAACTATAAGGGTACCACAAAGCATTTTGAGAAGAAGCTTAACCCTGAGTGGAACCAGGTTTTCGCTTTCTCAAAGGAGAGAATTCAGTCCTCCATGCTCGAGGTCTTTGTTAAGGATAAGGAGATGGTGGGCAGAGATGATTACCTAGGAAGGGTTGTGTTTGACCTAAATGAAGTCCCCAAGCGGGTTCCACCTGATAGCCCTTTAGCTCCACAGTGGTACAGGTTGGAAGATAGAAAGGGCGAGACCAAGGTTAGGGGAGAGATGATGCTTGCAGTTTGGATGGGAACACAAGCTGATGAGGCTTTCCCTGAAGCATGGCATGCTGATGCAGCAACAGTTCAAGGAGAAGGGGTTTTCAGCATAAGATCGAAGGTTTATGTGTCCCCTAAGCTTTGGTACCTAAGAGTTAATGTGATCGAGGCTCAAGATCTGCAACCGAGTGACAGGGCTCGGGTTCCTGAAGCTAGTGTAAAAGTTCAGGTGGGACACCAAGTGCTCAAGACCAAGCCTTCGCCAGTTCGAACCCCGAACCCACTCTGGAATGAAGACCTAATCTTTGTGGTAGCTGAGCCCTTTGAAGAGCAGCTTGTTCTCATGGTGGAAGACAGGGTTAGCCCATCAAAGGATGATGTTTTGGGGAAGATTGCACTCCCCTTAACAATATTCGATAAGAGATTGGACCATAGGCCAGTACATTCTAGATGGTTCAACCTCGAGAAATTTGGGTTTGGAGTTTTAGAGGGAGACAAGAGGAAAGAGCTCAAGTTCTCTAGCAGGATCCATTTGAGGGTGTGCCTAGAAGGAGGTTATCATGTGTTGGACGAGTCAACGATGTACATAAGTGACCTTCGCCCAACTGCAAAGCAACTATGGAAGCCCCCGATTGGGATTTTGGAGGTGGGTATATTGAGTGCTCAAGGGTTGCTTCCAATGAAAACCAAGGATGGGAGACAAACAACCGATAGCTACTGTGTGGCCAAGTATGGACCAAAGTGGGTTCGAACCAGAACAATTATAGACAGCCTCAGCCCCAAATGGAATGAGCAATACACATGGGAGGTCTATGACCCTTGCACTGTCATTACCCTAGGAGTCTTTGATAACTGCCATTTGGGCACACCAACCAGCTCAGCCAGCGATTCAAGAATCGGAAAGGTAAGAATTCGTCTCTCCACCTTAGAAACAGACCGAATATACACCCACTCCTACCCACTCTTGGTTCTTCACCCATCTGGCCTAAAGAAGATGGGTGAGCTTCAACTAGCCGTTAGGTTCACATGCACATCTCTTGTGAATATGGTCCATCTCTATGGCCATCCCCCACTTCCCAAGATGCATTACATACATCCATTCAGTGTGAACCAGGTCGATAACCTAAGGTACCAAGCAATTAACATAGTTGCCATGAGGCTTGGGAGAGCAGAGCCCCCACTGAGAAAAGAGGTTGTCGATTACATGCTAGACTTTGATGCTCATGCATGGAGCATGAGGAGAAGCAAGGCCAACTTCTTTAGAATTATGTCACTCCTATCAGGCGTGATATCGGTGGGAAAGTGGTTCGATGACGTGTGCCATTGGAAGAACCCCATAACCACAGTGTTGGTTCATATCCTATTCCTCATATTGATCTGGTACCCAGAACTCATACTACCCACCTTGTTCCTATACATGTTCTTGATAGGGATTTGGAACTTCAGGTTCAGGCCTAGGAACCCACCTCATATGGACACCAAGCTCTCCTGGGCTGAGGCAGTGCCCCCCGATGAGCTCGATGAAGAATTTGACTCTTTTCCAACTTCAAGGCCTCATGATGTTGTAAGGATGAGGTATGATAGGCTGAGGAGTGTGGCAAGAAGGATTCAAACTGTGGTGGGAGACATGGCTACACAAGGAGAGAGGTTTCAAGCCCTTCTGAGTTGGAGGGACCCTAGGGCTACAAGCCTTTACATTCTCTTCTGTTTAATTGCAGCAGTTGTGCTCTATGTAACTCCCTTTAGGGTTGTAGCTCTCCTCTTGGGGCTCTTTGTGCTTAGACACCCGAGGTTTCGAAGCAAACTACCTTCCGTTCCAAGTAATTTCTTCAAGAGACTGCCAGCTAAAGTTGACAGTATGCTATGAGTGTTCGCTGTCACTTGTAAAATGAAGGCATGGAAGGCGAATAGTTTTATGTGTGACTTTGTATTTGCTGTTTGTTCTTGTGTTTGGCTGTTGTATCAAGAAATCCAGAATGATGAACAATGTCTGGCAATTGTTCAAATTTGAATGTTATCATTTTATTTTTTTTGTATATTCATCGTGATGAGTACTTGGTTCCTTGGGTTTTTCTGTTCGCTTGCAATTTCAAAAATTGGTTGTGCAGGACCAGCATGTGATAATGTATCAATATGCATAAAGTTAATAACACTTCATCAGTAACCTGGTTTACATGCTTTAGAGTGGCCGCTTTTCTGTACTCTTTTGCAGACTCCCGGATTAATTAGTGAAATAAAAGATATTTCTTTTGACAACCGGTTGCCCTTTCTTTTCGGAGAACTGTGGAGGGCAGGTACCTAGGACTCTCACAGCGACGATTCTCACGAGACTAACAGAGAGACGTTAGGGAAATGGGGCCTACAAATAAATTATCATGTCACTCAGCTGGAGATGCTCTTAATCAGAAGATTAGGGCTTTTGCCCTAGGCCTGCCAACCTGCCAGAACATGCGTGCACCTAGCCCATCATACAGCCAAAGACCAGACCACGACCTAAGCCTCGAGTGCACCAGCCCAGGCCCTTGTGCACCTACGCTCAACCAGGTACAAACTGTCCAGCCAAGGCTTAGCTATCCGGAGTGCCCATGAAATGCCCGCCCCTAAAGCCACATAAGCTGGTAGGAGCTTGGGCCTAGCCAGGAAGCTGGACCGAGCCTGGTCTATCACCAGACACCCAACCTTAATAAGGTGTTCGACTTAATGAAGCACTAGTTACAAACCATGGTTACGATGCCACAGATTTCATAACCTCGAATCAATTCAAAGATATGTGCACTCTATTAATTGAACATAACAAAACACATGAATCCCAAGTTCCAAAGGGTATCGGCATCAAATGTACATCGAAAGGGAAGAGAAGATAGGAACACATTCCACCCATGAGACCATATGGGAAATGCAAATGGTGGCAAACATCCACAGTGAAGTCAACATAGAAAAGCTAAGATTTCAATCAGAAATTTAGATTCTTGAAAGTAGATAAAGTTCATTCTCTCTTTTCACTCAAATAAGAAATAGATGAGGTTGTTCCGTCCAAAATAGGGCAGGAAAGTCAAAACTTTAAGTATAAAAACCTGACCAAAAGGACACCTAAAAATTCTACAGGTTCTCTCTCCTAAAATGAGAGCTCGTGAGGTTTCATGCCTGAACGGAGAGAGAATCTAGCAGCAAGATATGGCTTCAAATCAGGTACAGCTTCAATGGCCTTTATCAGAGGAGTATCAACTGCTTTCTGGTCATCTTTTACCTCTTGTGGGAGGGACATGGTCTCCTGCATTTTTTTTGGGAAAGATCAAAACAGACCCATGATAAGAAGACAGAGAAGAGATTATCAGAATCTTCCACAGTAAGCTAGATTTATACTTTAGTCTGATTCACTTCGTTTAATATCCTACAAGATGTTAGCGTGATACTCATTGCTGCTAAGCAGATAGAATATGACAGTTTTAACTATTAATATATCAAGCACTTCCCAATGCTTCCTTCACATCATCTCAGGAGTAGTGGCAGGAACAGGGGATTGAAGCCTCTCCCAATCAGTTAACGAGATAAAGTACAAATGCAGCATTATGTTTCCCATCAAGCGCAAAAGAAACTGCGAAGGAAATAACATTTTGGCACCTCACATTCAGAACAGTTTCAATCCAACTTATTTACCACCAATCTCACAGTTTTCCAAGTGCTTCATTTATGATGAGGACTCACATTCATGCCATTGAATTCAACTTATTTACCACCAAACAATGTAGTGATTTATTCAAATAGAGACTCCTACAATTTTTCGAGTATTTTGAAATCTAGAATGTACGAGTTATGTATCCCCTTGCATATTTTCCTATCAGTGACATGCTTCTTAGTAATAATCCCATGCTCCATCCAAACAACATGACCAATGATAACATATCACAAACATGGGGAACTTACCTCTTTCTCTGCCTGAAAGAACTCGGTCTCTCCTTTCTTCTTTCTCACAACAGTTTTTGTGAAGTAAATATCAGTGAACTTCTCCACATTCGTTCCAGAGATATCAACCTTGGTTGAAGTTGCAATAACATAGGCTTGGTTGACACGTCTCAGAGGGACACCATTCACCACAAAAGGACCTACAGGAAAGATCACAATAGTGAAATTTTGTATTGAACTTCATGAGAATATTATTCACACAGCACAAATTAGTAAAGACTGAAGCTTCCACTTCATGTAAACTACAAGCACATAGAAATAGTAAATACCATTCAAAACAGAAAGTAGAAAACTTTAACACAGATCACAAAACTCGGGAGCAGGAGCAGCAAGATATCTACAAAGGCCATATCCAAAGCCTAAGCAGGAAAAAAGAAGATAAACCATCAAACTAAATCAGAATTTATGAAAAATCTGACAGTTGTAGAGGACTCAAAGTGACATTCCTCCCAATTTAATACTATTCTGAAGGCATTTTTGAGAAAACGTGCCATTCCCAATGTTTCAAATGAGAAAAAATTGGAATTCAATTAGCATAAGGCAGATCATATACATATTCAAGCATAACATCAGTTCATAAAAAACACTCAAATAAACCCACAAAGACATCAATCCAATTACTTGGGGTAAGGGTACCATCCAATGGAAAAAGACCAAACAAGTACTAAGGTGCCAAGGGCACAAGGCCCAAGTCAGAACAGCAAAGTCATGCTTAACTTATACCAAGCTCAGTGACAAATGGCAGTGTTGAGTCAGGATTGAAGACAAACGCACAAAAATGTCAATTGGCACTGCAGTGAACGCAATAAATTCAAATTTACCAGGACAGAATGAGTTGGAGAGAATAGCAAGAATCCCCATCCAAGGAAATTCCATTTCCTGGATAAAATATTTGCCTCCAGAACATGGCTATCAAGAAATGGATGCATAACATCAATTCTCTTGAAGCTGAAAGGAGAGGCAGGACCTTACAATTCTCAGAGCAAGATCAAAACTTAAAAAGAATATAACCTCATTCAGAACATAAACTTGGAAAAATTATAAACATAATGCAGGAGCAACTAATCTTTTCATAAGGAATCCTCTATTTTCACACAATAGATTTGCTTATCAATAAAAGAAATATATCTGAAACTATCTCGAAATAATTCAAAGCTACTCTGCATTTCACATCTACAAAACGACATTCGTCTCACCAATATTTATCGGTTTGGGGAAGAAACCATCCAAATGGGAGAGACCAAACAAGTCCTAAGATGCCAGAGACATAGATCCAAGACGACACAGCAAAGGCAAGCTCAACTTAAACCAAGCTCGGTGAGGGGATGGAGAGTTTAGTAAGGAGTAAAGACAGACGCACAAGAAAGGCAGTTGACACAATCATGAACACAATCAATTCAAATTTACCAGGATAGAATGATTTGGAGAAAAGAACAAAAGTCCATCCAAGACTATTCCAATTCCTGGAAAAATATTTGCCTCCAGAACATGGCCATCAAGAAATAGATGCATAGCATCATTCTCTTGAAGCTGAAAGGAGAGGCAAAATTGACATTTCTCAGCAAGAATCCAAACTTAAATAGAATATTACCTCATTTACGAACATAACATTAAAAGGAACATAACCATATCTTCTAATAAGGAATCCTCCATTTTCACCATAACTAGAGCTTGGTTTATCAAAAAAGGAATTACGTAGATCTGAAACTATCTCGTAATATTTCGAAAGTACTCTTCCTTTCACGAATGAAACAAGGCTCTTGTCGTCAATATATTTGGGATGCTTATAGTTTTGGAGTCAAATGATACTCTTCCTTTCACTAATGAAAAAGCCTCTTGTCATCAATATATTTGGGATGCTTATAGTTTTGGAGTCGAATGATTATTTCTTAGGAAATGCAATTCATTACATCAAACTGGCAATCAAATTAGAAATCTATCTATAAGAATCCAAAAATTACAAAATACAATGATATTACCAAAAATTGAAACATAAAACTAACAGCAAATCACAATAGAAACGTAAAATACAATAAACTAGCAAAAAATCAAAACAGTGGCAAAGAAAAGAGAACGAAAACAATTTGATAGCCAAAAAGCCATTGACAATGACCACTTCACGAAATCTCACACAAAATGAGAGCATGTGTATCGCCAAATTACAAAGCAATAATGAAATTACAAAACAAGGATCAGAGAGTGGTCAGATAGAGCTAATATTATGCATGCCATCACACCAGCAATCAAACCAATAGGGAATCAATTACAATCATCACACCACTCCATATAATTTCCTAAAAAATAGATTGTGAAGGAAATGAAAATTAAAAGACGCAAAGAAACATCAAATCTAAAACATACATGAAAGACTATTTCAAAACCCAGAATCAACTGAAGAGTCACTAAAAAACTAAGGTTAAAAGTCTGATAAAACTTCTAATTAGATTCACAAGCTTGCAAGCCATCTCAGGTGAAGACAGGAGCCAACTCGAAGAAGTCTCTAAATTTAAATTGAAAGAAAGAGTATTCAGACAGAGAAAATAGCATGCCATCACATCAGCAATCAAAACAATGAGAGCATGTGTATTACCAAATTACAACAATGGCAAACAAAAAAGAATGAAAATAATTTGATAGCCAAAAATCCATTAACAATTAGCACCTCAGGAGATCTCACACTAAATGAGAGCATTTATTACCAAATTACAAAGCAATAAGGATTAGAGAGTGGTCAGATAAAGCTATTATAATGCGTGCCATCACACTGGCAATCAAACCAATAGGGAATCAAATACAATCATCACTCCACTCTCCAAATAATTTCCTATAAATTAGATTGTGAAGAAAATGAAAACAAAAAGATGCAAAGGAACATCAATTCTTAAACGTACATGAAAGACAGTTTCGAAACCCAGATTCAAGATATAAGATAAGCTTGTTTCAGATCAAAATCAACTGAAGAGACAGTGGAAAATCGAAGTCAAAAGTGGCATAAAACTTCTAATAAGATTCACAAGCTTGGCAAGCCATCTCAGGTGAAGTCGGGCCAACTCGAAGAAGTCTCTCCATTTAAATTGAAAGAAAAAAGTTATACATATAGACAAATAGAACACATGCCATCATATCAGCAATCAAAACAAAGGGGAAAAAATGGTAATCATCACCCCACTCTTAAATAAACCTTAGAAATTCATTTGTGAGAATATGACACCTTACTTATCACGGAAACACACACCAATTGGCACATAGGCATCAGATCTCCAAGGTGTTGACATCAATAAATTTCAGATGCAAATTACCCATTGGATAATTAGATTCCTCATTTGCCCTCCAGACACAAAAATCCTTTAACAATTGCAAACAGACTCTAATGAAATCCCAGAGGCACCAATAGTTCCTTTACAAGCCCAATAATGATAAAATAACTGATTGATCTTTAGGAGTTCATTGTTTGGCCTTATAAAAGACAATTATAGGGGAAAGTGCCAAGTTTGTCCTAACTCACAAAAAAAGTAGCAACAAACGTAGCCAAACACTGCCTATTCTATATACAAGAGCATCAAGAATTCTAATATTTTTTTAGAAGTTTAGAAGGGCCACAACTTTACAATTTCAAAATCAACCACTCAGCAAATTCTTATGGAGAACAGTATGAACAAATATGATACGTATAAATCTTGAAACTTAAGAGCATCTTTACCACAAAAAATATCAAGTTATAAGCTCAAGAAATTTATAGACCTTTTTACCACAGAACATGCCCACCAGTGAAAACCTTTGAAAACATAAACACGAAAAACCAAATTATTAAAAAAACATACTCGATACAATAATATACTTTGCACAATAAAATATTTTTCCAAAAAAAGAAAAAGGAAAACCTAATAAAACTGGATAGGAAGGAGTAGCCAGTTTCCAGCAGCATATGTCATCATACGAACCACCAATAAATGGGGAAATTATCATTAATGTCAGCCCACTCTTTCCTACCTTGATAATTACACAAACCATATAAATATTACCTTTCCTAAGAAGAATAAGCATCAGATCTCCAAGGTGTTAGCATCAAAAAGAATTCAGATGCAAATTATCCAAATATTATCTGGATTTCCTCATTTGCCCAATAGAATAAGAATCAAAAAACAAAATTCCGCAGAGAACAGCACATAATATGAAAGATTAATGATGAAACTCGGGACCAACATCTATTACTTCAAAATTCATAGGTGAAAAAGACACATAACTAACAAGAGAGAAACTTACAACCCAAGTTAGATTGTTTGAATGTTTTCAAAATAAGATCAAGGGTTTTGAAATGGGTTGACATTGTTATGTTCTGTATCTAGGGAGTGAATGGCTGCAACATAACCTCTTACGGATTGAAAAACTGGAAACTATGCGCTCCACAGTCAGATACTTACATAGCCAAGAAATAAAATCATTCAATAGCCTTTTCCCTGAAGAAGTAACTAAAAACAACATAGTGACTCACCCAAATAGTGCCCCAATTTAAAATCCACGAAAGCAATAGCCCAGAAATCTTGCTAGATAAGGACATCAATTTTTCTGCAAACAGAGTTGACAAATGATACAGTAGTGTGGGACGGGCAAATGTGGACTGCATAAGAACAAGAAGAGACCCTTACAGAGAAATTGAGCTCTAGGAATTCCTAGAGGAAATCTGCTCAATTGGCTTGTGTTACTTCTATATACACCAACAAACCACCAAGACATGGAGGCCTCAAGCATGAAACATGTGAAACAATGATAGGGATAATAACTTCACTACCTGCTCAAACATCATCGAAACCAACTTGGGAACCAACCAAAGACACATAATACAACATAAACACAGGGTATTTCTGTCTCACACAAAATTGAAAAGAGTTATACATTCCATTAAAAACAGATCACTTGTAAAGAATCATGCTTCAATAAATTTGCATGCTCTTCCAATAGAAAAAAGTGAGTCCCTTGCAGCCATGACTCCAACAAAGAGAAACACAGAATCACCAACAGAGAAACAATGATCAAAGTAATTCAAAATTCGGGAGGAATACATTAGCTCAGGAAGTTCAGTCTTGCCATCCCGAATTTCACACAGAACCAAAACTAACAAAATGAGAAACACAACACCCCAATTTACCATTATAGCAAATATAGCAAAACAATTCAAAGAGAAGCACACAAAAATTTATAGAATGTCTTCTTTCACAAGCATACCGGTGATCAGAAGAAGGCCAGAAGGAAGCTGTTTCAGGAATACAACCCTCTTCCCCATGAATCTCCCAGCTAGAATGATCAGCACAGTACCTGGAGCAATGCTTGCCCTGTTGACGTTAAAGTATAACAAAAGTCAGACAAGAAAATAACCTCAAGCAAACAGAGCAAGTACAAACACTAAATGACTACAAGACGATCATAGATGTAATAGACATCGAATCTCCTACCCTGGAATACAAAAAAACCAAGGTACCAAAAGCAGGAAAACACTGAATTTAAAATAAATAAAATTAGAGCATTTGGAAGTTGAATAAACATGAAAATAGAAGTATCAAACTAATTTACAATTGATCAGGAGACATTTGGTAGCACTATGACTCATGAACCCCATAAGATCAACAACAAAGGATTTGACAAGAAATGATAGATCACTAGTTACATAGGGAGTATCATCTTCCGCATTTTAATTTTATTACGTCCAACATAGAAAATATAACACAAGAAACAAATCTGTTTTCATATGGATTAAACTACACGAACAATAGAAACCCTAGAAATTAACTAAAGGGGAAAGAGCAAAAGCCCAGCATCCAAGCCTCAAAGGATGAAACGAAAAAAACCCACAGCCCAGGTTCTCACACTGAGATAGAGACAAAATTTCACAACCTAAACAAATGAGACCAAACACTTGAACATGAACAGGAGCAACAAAAAAAGATATCAATTTGAGAAATCACCAATACAGAAAAGTAACCTTAATACAAAATAATTATTCTAAGCAATGTGAAAGACAGCCATACTGAACTTCATCAAACTTTCAACTAACCGAGAAATGCTTAATTAACCAAATATGCAAAGTAAAGTTTACCGTGGAAATGAAAAGCCAAAAAAAAAAAACTCAACTGAAGAAAAACCCAAACCAAAACAAAAGGAAAACAAAGCCTGAGAAGATGATAAATCCAAAATGCTACAATCAAGCAACTAAATTCCGAACAACACAAATCCATACCAAACATGAAAATAAACAAACAGAACTGTCATAGCAGATACAGACTCAAATGTTTAAGCTTCCAAAAGATCCAAATACACAAAAACCTAAAACCAAAACAGATCTAGAAGTAAATACACAAAACCAAGTGAAACCAAAGGTTATACCTAAGCTTGGTAGGCTTGTGCTTTCTGTTATTAACCAGAGGTTTCGGGATATTGTCAGCGGGGTAGTACTTAGGCGGCTTCTCCTCTGGTTTTGGAGCTGCCGGCTTCTTTTCATGGCTAGGAAAAACCCCACCATTTTTTGCCTTAATGGCCCAGAGCCCACGCTTGTGATACATTGCAGACCTAGAGTATCGGCCAACGCCTCTGATAAGATCCTTGTTCCTGGACCCTCTAGGTTTCTTCACTTGAGGAGGCGCCATTGATGAATCTCCAAGCTCTCTCTCTCTCTCTCTCGCTCTCTCTACTCCCTATAAACATCGAAACCCTAGTCTCCTACCTTTATATAGTGAGCACGCGCTCTCTCTCTACTACCTGAAGAGAGCGAAACCCTAATCTTCTATGAGCACTCTACACTATGCTCCCTCGGGAGCATAGTTTACGTATACTCCCGCGATTCTTTAATTTAAAATTTTAGGAACCACCGCAAGAATCATGGAAGATTATGTTCAAAAGTAAAAAAATTTAAAATTTGAGCTTTCTAAATCTTAGGTCTCATCATCTTAAATTTAGATGTCTCTATTCAATCTTGATATATTATTTTTTTCAAAATGCATTGAGGGTTTTATTGAGGTTTATCTTTGGGTTGAATAGGTTATATCCATCTTAAAATTAACTCTAGCATCTTCTAACTCTCGTGCATTTACGGTTTAAGCGGTGAATTTTTTATTTTTTATTTTTGGTAATTTAATGGTGAATCCAACCTCTACCGGTTTTTCATATAAATTAAGGAGTTAACTTTCTTTTTAGGAACCAGGATGGTGTCAATAGGATTAGAAACACAATACGGTAATTAGGTGTGGGGGGTGGTAGGTCGATGTGATTGGAAACCACAACGTGGTAACTAGGTGTGGAGGTGCTACAATCACGACCCGGCCGCTATCCAAACATTCACACATTTGGCATCCGTAATTTGGCACTTTCCAAAATAAACATTTTATATACAGATTTTTTTAGGGAACTTAGGAAAAGGTAAATAACACATCATTTAAAAGCTTAAAATCTATTTTTTTTATCTTATTCCAAAGATAATATTTGAATTTTAGATTTATAAATACTCATTCAAAAAAGAATATTTAAATTATATATATATATATATATCAATTTTTTGGTTGGGATTAAGTATATAATATGCTTCTCCAATATTTTCTATTAGAAATCGGCCCATATAGGTATGATTTATTCGCACTAAGGTATGTATGTAACTTGAGAATTTGAAAACTTGATAATTTATCTCGAAGAAACGATATGAAAAGCATACATGAGGAACGTCTTTTGTCTTATTACAATAAATTATATTTGGTTTCACTCGTGAGGATGCAAGCCTCCTTTACACATGCAATGTGTAACATCAAATGCTAAATACTACTTCAAACTTTATCAAAATATTTTATAAATATTGTAATTTCTTAAAATATAGCACTTTATTGAAAAAAGTTCAAATTGTGGAAAAAATAATTTCCCATTTATATTAGTCTACATTCATGTTATTTGTCAATATTTTTTAAAATTTGGAAGTTTATATAAATGTTCAAAATATTTGTAAATTTAATTCGTAGTTAGATAACTATCAATCAAAATCTATAATTAAAATATATTAATCAATAGTAAAATTAAATTTAAATTATAAAAAGATTTAATAATAAAAAATTATATAGGTTTTTCATTAAAAGAGGGTCATTAATACTATTTCAAATTAACAGCATGGCACTCAATAAATACACTTGAAGATTAGGTTCATGGAAGGTTAAGTTTGGACAGGCTATTCTCATATTATTAACCTTTTTTTATTAAATAATCAAATGACAGGTCTATCATATGATATAGGAAAAACTTATATGGAGCCGAGGCTTGAAACAATTAAATTAGAGCCTACCTAAAAAATTTCACTAGAAGAGTTTGTTTTGATGCTCAAATATTCTCAAATTGATCATCTCGACATCAAGATGTATGGACATGAGAAAAATATGGATTTTGAAGTTTTGGAAATAGTACATCTTGTAACGCATTTTTTTACCGTCAATTTTCAAGATTTTCAAGTTTTCATAAATCGGCTCAATCTATACTATTTTTTAAGCTTTAAATTTTATACTTAAAGATGAAAATATATTTTAAGTCTATCACAAAGATTTTCACTATTGAAATTTCATTTCTCGACACTATTTGAAGGTGTGCTTTACTTTGATTGTTTAGAGCCTCGGCTCTTTACAAACCGCATCCTATAATATATTGTATATATAATATACATTTACTATTGTATGCTATGGGATATATAATCCCTCATGTAAAAGTCTTTTACTAAGTACTTTTAGGATCTCAATTTCATAACCTCAACCAAGTGAAATTCAACCTCAAAAAATGAAATTGTTTATACACATTTTATGTAATCCATAAAAGAAAGTTATAATATTGAACATAGATCGTGAAAATCTTTTATATATATATATATATATAGGATAATCTACAATTCACAACCCTACAAATTATAAAAATTAATATTAGATTGAGTTGCGAATGGTAGATTTACTAGGTATTACCTGCCATTAAATGAGTAAATAGGGCAACTCACATTTTCAATAATGTACTAAATACTTTAGGTATTTGCAGTAGTAGTAAGTTATATTGCATCCAATTATCGAAAGTAATAATGAAAAAGAGGAGTTGCTAGACATACTTACATCAAAATAATGTTAAAAATTTATCTTTACATCAATATAATTTTTACTTTTAAATATAATAATAAATTGTTCATTTTTTTATTTGAAATTTAAAATTATGAATATAAATTGTTCATTTCTATAATTGTATACCTATAGATAGATATGGGAGGCTTCATATAGACAACGATTAATAAATGATAAAAAAATAGAAAAAGAAAAACAACTCAAATACTATTTTACATGTGGTAAAGCCTACAAAAGGCTATTCAGGCCGAGTACCTTGATTCCTGACAAGACTTGACCGGATTATCAGTCATTTACAGTTCAACTCGATGATTCTAGAGTCGAACTAGTAATTTCCTAAACTATAGCTTAAACAAAATGTTAGTAGTTTTGTTTTTTGAAAAATTCTGGAGTGTATTTCAAAACAACGCTATGTTTTATGGGAAAAGTTTATATAGAGCCGAGGCACTGAACAATCAAATTCGAGCCTACCTCAAAAATTTCACTAGAAGAGATTCTTTTGATGTCAAAATATCCTCAAATTCATCATCTCGGCATCAAGATGCATGGACATGAGAAAAAAATGGATTTCAAGTTTTGGAAATAGTGTATTTTGTAACACACTTTTGGACCGTCAATTTCAAGATTTTCAAATTTTCATAGATATCTCGATCTACACTATTTTTGAAGCTTTAAACTTTATAAATAAAGATGAAATACATTTTAAGGCTATAAAAAAGATTTCCAGTCTTGAAACCATATTTCTCGACACTATTTGAAGGTAGGCTCGAATTTCATTGTTTAGAGCCTAGGCTCTATACAAACCGCACCCATGTTTTATTGTTCTTTACTAAATTGTTTTGTAGAGAGAGAAAGACGTGGGTTTGAATCCTACATTGAAGAGGATAGAGTTTCTTAATTTGTATTTAAAAGCACATATTCTTAGGCAATATACTCTAAGTACAAATAAAAGAGAAGGTGCATGTGCGGAGCACACAAAGCGTGCGAGGGCATGGGCGCAAGGGCGCTTTAATGGCATGCTTTGCACGCTCGTATCGGCACATGAGACGCCCCTTGGGCAAGCACATGTATGGGTCAAGCTTTAAAATACGCTTGCATTTGTGCATAAGGCGTCCCTCGGTCAAGCACGTGTACGGGTCAAGCTTGAGCTCTTTTTGTGAGCCCAGCTCATGTGGGATAGCTAACGGTCACCTAGTTGTTGATGCATGTGGAAATGAGGTTGTAACAACAACCATCAAATGAGTTTAACTTGTAGTTGTTGGTGGTGCATGTACAATAAATATGTGGTCGCTTTGTGGCTCTCTATATAAAGGAGTCACCTTGTGGCTCTCTATATAAAGGGGTCATTTTGCCCTACGAGATACAGACTTTTCACAGCCCTTGCATCTCTTTCAATAGACCATTATTTGCAATTCCAATTAGAAAACTAGTGAGCTAAACTCTCTCTACTCGATTTTATCTCTTGCTCCTAATACAACAAGACTTTGGTGTATAGGTTCCAAGCTCAGGTGCATAGAGCTTAGGAACATTGTAAAATACCTCTCTGCTTGCCTGTATTTCGATGACGAATTGCCTTTTTATGCATGTCAAATATTACATCGAAGGGGGCCAACTATCGTATTGAGATAGTGCTCATGTGTGCCTGAAAACAAAAAGAGTTCAAGATCTAATTTTTCTATATCATACTATTTTCTGCCCCCATTTCACCCAACCAAACTGCAACCTAAAACACCAAATAATGAAAGTAAACTAAAAGCTAAGAGAAAATAGGAGTCCAAAAAGATATACTGATCATGCATTTACAAAAATAGAATAGAAAAAAAAACAAAATCAACTAGTTCAACCATCAAATAGATTCATATGATTTTAACAATATAACGCCAATTTCTTGCCATATTCGGACCACATCAATCTAAAAATTATGCCATAAATCTGCAAATGTTATCACAACCCATAGACAATGACAAGCTTGAAAGGAGGGAGTACAAGAAATAAAAAAGAAAAAAGTTCCCTTTTTTTTTTTTCCATAACATAGTGATAAAGCTCGATTCACTTTTCTTTTTTTTTCTTTTTTATTTCTTTGATATATCAACCGTGGGAATAGAGGGTGGGATGTTATGAATAGAGCTTGATTCTCTTAAATAATTTCTCTCTACTCTCTGTGCGACCTCTGGTTAGAGTCATATGCAGATCAATTACTAGATACGAATGAAAATTGTACAAGATAGAGAGATTAATGACCTTATTTTGCAAGAGATCGTTCCCTTTAAGAGATCGAGATCAAGATAGCATAGAAAAAAGAAGATCGAGAATATATATACAGAGAGGTCTTAGCTAAGTGAAAAAGAAAGTTGGTCATGACTGTGAGAGGTGAGATCTTGATACAGTGGGTTTTTTAATTTTTATTTTTTTGGTTTACTATTTTAGATTTTTAGGTTTAATTTTTTTCTTTAAAATAAATTTATGGCTGTAGAGATTTGAGGGGTTGAATAACAAGTTTATTTTTAAAGATTAATGATATGGATTAACATTGTTGTGATGTTTAGGATATCTTAAAATTTTAAGAGATAAGGAACTCTAAGTTTATGGGAGCTTCCTAACGATTAAGG